AAGCCCTGGGCACCCTGTAGGGAAGCATGGGTGGGGTAGCGCCCTGGTCAGCTCTCTCACCCGCGCTTTAAGGCTGAGGCGGGCGGTAGAAGGTGAGCAAGCTGGCTCTCCAGGGTTGCTGTAAGAGATGTCCCCTGGCCCGAGGAGCCTGCAGGACCAAATCCAGGGAAGCAGGCAATGCCCAGAGGGAGGGGCTCCTCCACTCTCACAAGGAACAGACCAGCTCTCGGTCCCAGATCTTGGCTGCGCCACGCTCTCTCCCTCCTTCTTAGGCCTATTGACCAGACAAAGGTTGTGACCCTGCCATGCTACCCACTTCTTCCTTTTCCCATGAGCCTCCTGGGTTCCGTTATGCTAGTGGCCCCTGGGAAACCCTACTTACCCTGGTCTGTGTAATTTCACAACCCTGCACTTCCTCGTTTGCTATGAGAGCTGAGCCAACCTCAGACAAGCCTCGCTGACCCTCTTTTGACCTCAGTCAGGCTCAGTCCAAGCCCCATGATAACCCCGTGTATCCCTGGTCAGAGCAGGCAGGGGCAGTGTCCCCCACAGACCAGCCAGGGACCCTACTCCACTCACTCTGGTCCAGGTTAACCCCACGAACAGGAAGTAAATGTGCAGAGAGAGTCTTCCTCCTTCCCACGGCCTGGGCCTCTCTGGAAGTGGGCCCTGTGACACAAGAGCGTGCGCGTTGCCAGATGAGTGGTGACTGCAGACAGCAGCCCAGACCCCTGAGACCTCTTAGGATAGTGGCAGTTCTGGCACCATCCCGAGATCTCACCTCTCCTAACTGCAAGACTGAGTCCCTTAAGCTGATTGGGAGAGGAAAGGGGAGCCGTTTCTTCAGACATCATTCTTCATGAGCAGAACAGAATCCATTTCCTTAAGGATGCTGCCAGATCACCTGTCTTCCCACTCACACACTCTTGGTAACCACTTTCCGCAAAGAGAGTCCTTCAGAATATCATCGATATGGACAGTTAGAGCAGAGTCTGTATGGAACAGGATCCCTGTGAGTCTGTGGGAAGCCTGGCAAAGGGCTGGGTCTGAGCTTACCATCTAGATCCAGGACCACACCTATGCTGCTTGGTATTATTGGTAGGAGCACAGACTTTGGAATCAGACTCACTAAGGTTTGAATCCCTGCTCTGCCACTTACTAGCTTCGTGACCTTGAGCAAATTGTTTAACTCTCTAGACCTCAGTTTGTTCATTTATAAAATAGGGATGATGATAGCATCTATGTACAGGCTATTGTGTTAAATGAGTTAATGCATGAAAAATGCTTAGCCTGGTATCTGGCCTCGTAATAAGCACTCAGTGAATGGTAGCCGATATTGTCACAATCATTGTCATTATTATCATCCAGTTATCATTCAGACCCAGGAATCTTCTCCTACTAAGTCACCCCCTATTACCCGTGCTAACCCTGTCCCTCAAAGGAAGCTCTCTTGGGCAGCTGCATGTTCTCTACTGACCAAGGCCAAAAGTGAGAGAGTGAGAAGTGGACCCTGGGACCACCCGGGAGTAGTGGCTTCTAAGAGCTGAGGCTGCAAGCAGGGAGGTGCCACCCCTGGGGAAGGCTCCACCAGCCTGGCAGGAGACTCCTTAAGCTAGCCAGCCATCTCCCAGTCTGTGCAGGCCCCCAGAGGGCAGCTGAGCAAGGTCATGGCATGCGAATCCCTATCATGGGGCCCCCAGCCCCCGCACCGCCAGGCTGTGGTCTTAAAAAGAAACCAGGGCAAGGTCTGCTGAACTACAGCATCTGCTCCCTGATGCCGTCTGGGGCAAGGGAGCTTCCATGCCTAACTCCCAGCTGTTGGCCAGAATGATTCCTATCCGATCGCTAGCATGAATTAGACTTAAATTGGGTGGTTTAACTTTCTCTGTTGTTTTTCCCTTTGGTGAATTTCAAAATGAAAATGGACCCAAAGTTTGACATTTTGAGTGTGTGCAGAGAAGGAAGGGCTGTGAGCATAGGCATGGAAGTAGATAGGGTGTGGATCTGTGAGTCTCTAAGAGGAGGGCCCTGGAGCACAAAGGGGAGCAGTTGCCGGGGGAGAAGGAGGACAGCTTCCCTCGACCTGCCTCTGCCTGAGCTGTGGGGCGAGCACACACCTCGGGGCGCTGTGCATGGGATAGTCCAGATAGGCCTGGATTGGGATGCAGGAGGGGCGGAAGGGTGGGTCTGGTCTGTGCTGTGGGCTCACAGTCTCCTCTCTCCCCTGGCCTGCACCACCGGCAAAGGAAGAGGACGTGGTGATTGAAGACTTTGAGGAAGATTCGGAGGCTGAAGGCAGCGGGGGCGAGGATGACATCAGGGAGCTTCGGGCCAAGAAGCTGGCTCTGGCCAGGAAAATAGCGGAGCAGCAGCGTCGCCAAGAGAAGATCCAGGTGCCTGGGGAGGGTGGTTCCCGTGTGGCTGGTGGTCTGTATAGGGCATGAGGGAGATGGGAGTAGGGATGAGCAGGACCTTCTCACTCAGGAAGTCTTGCAGTGTCCGGACTGGTTCCACGACCTGTTTTCCTCCTCTGCCACTAAATTCTGGTTTGGTGCCTGGAGTCTCCCTCCTCCTGGGCTGCAAGCAGGGCCAGGTTCTTCTCAGAATCTGCTGAAAACTTCTCCCCCAGTGATGATCTATGAACACACACCACACATACCCAACCTTTCACACAATTTCAGGGGTTTCAAAGTTCCCCTGAACGTTGTCCAGACACTCTCGGAAAAGCCGTGGATTCTCTGTTGAGAACACCTATTCTCAGGGGGAGATGGTGTCATGGCCACAGTCTGCTTGTCTGGATTCCCACCGTAGTGGCCGAGCCCCTCTGGACAGCACACTCTAAACCCTAGGGAGAAACTACTCGATGGCCACGTAAGGATTCCTGCACCATCAGCCCTCTCGTGGACCCGTACCTTCACTTCCAACATGCTGTTCTTTATGGCTCTCCCAGGTCTGACTCTTGCACTGTAAGCTCACTTCTTCTCATCTAGGGCGCGGGGCAGACGGGGAAGAGCCGGCCATGCTCCCTGCTTTAAGACTAACTGCATACGTGGGGAAGCGTCAGTCGTCTTTAGGAAAGTCTGTTTTCAGCCCTCTCTTCAGCCACCTCTGGCCTTTGGCATGGAGCGTAGTGCATGTGGTCAGGCCGACCTGATCAGGCTGGGCTCCACCACTTACTAGCCTTGTGACTTTGGGCACATTGTTTAACTTCTCCCAACCTGTTTCCTCATCTGCAGAGTGAAACTGGTGACAGCACCTACCACCTGGAATGTCTGTGAGGCCCACAGGAGCCAGTGCATGTAAAGCACCCAGTATAGTGCATGGCACACCGTGATCTGATAGCAGTCTGACCGCTCATCAGACAGAGCCCTGCCCTGGGAAGGGGAATGGTTACCAGTTGGGTCCCATGGTCCTTTAGACGTGTTCATATGAGTCTACCGGTTGGAATTAAGCCTCTGCCAGCATCACTGCCGTGGTGGGGTGGCTGCCTTCTCCACCCTTGCGCAGTCTGTGTGGACCTCTGTCGTGGCCCTCGAAGCTTCGTCTGCAAGCTGTCTTTCTTCCTGTCCGCTAGCTCTTTTCTTCCTCACCATCAGTCTTCCCCAAAGTTCTGTCCATACTACCATCTCCATTTCTTGACTCTCAGCCCAGCAGTTATAGAGACGATCGCATCAGAGGTCACCAGGTACCTCTGTCGGGTCTTCTTCACACGTGACTTCCCTGTAGCTTTGGGCCCCAAAACCGCCTCCCTCCAGCCTCACTTCAGCACACGAGGACCTTCGTCTCCTGTCTGTCTGGTGACCACACCACCCTCCTGGGCTTCCTCACCTTCATTACTTGGTCTCCTCCTCCCTTTCTCTTACTTCTTAGCCTCAGCACATGGAGTTGGCCCTCAGCAAGTATTTTCATTCAGTGAGTTCGTAGATGGTAGCAACGAGAGCATCATCTTAAGTTCCTCACAGGCTTTTAACCCCTCGTGCCTGATTTCTTATCAGATCCTATCTGTTCACTCATTTACTCCCCCCCCCCCCCCC